CTTAGCGCGTTCTGAAACACGGGTATACTTTCCGGTTGTGACAACTTTTCGCAGTCTAGCCGTCGCTGTGTCATGTGTTAGGAACACCGAAGGAAACTCAGAGGCAGCTTGGCGCAAACTATTGCGTGATCAACTTCAGGGGGGGGGCGTTCCTACATGATCGACAGTCTTCTTTGCCACCCCATCAGATGCGGCTTATAGCAATTTGATCGATCTGCATTTGTCGCTAACTCAAAGACGCCGGATGGCGTCCTACAGTTGTATCGTCTGAAGTTCGTGCTGGCGGTGGATAGGCACCCATCAGAACCTAGAGTCAACAGCCGTTTTCCGAGCGTCAGGAATCTAATCCGAAACCACCTCCTAAATGTGTCTTACTCGAAGTCTCGTTGCTTTTAATGGGAAGTATCTTTGATTGTGTCTGGGCTGCAGTCAGTGGGTAGATACGCTGAGACGAAGAACAAGTTAGGTCTTTCTGAGCGACGAAGAAGGGCTTCAACTAGTGTAGAAGTATTCGGTCAGACTTGGGCGTTGTTTCAGAAAGGACACGAGAGAATGGGAAGGGGGATGTCCGTCTGAGCCACAACTGGTAGTACAATCGTTCGTTGATCCTGATAACACCGGAAATGTTTGAGGGGAGTGAATGCGAGGTGAAGTAGAAACTGAGAAATGGGAAGATGTGCATGGTTTAGAACGCTTCTCTCCACAAAAGGAAAGCTGAATGAGCATATTTTTGAACAAGTTGAAGCTCATTCTATGTTGTCTGTGTTGCGGGCTGTTGTACTACTCGCTCACCGAGCCCAGAGTTGTGACTGAGTATTTGGATGTATTCCACTAAGGGCAACACTGCTGACGATTTATTCAACGGTTTTGCATGCAATTTCATTATGCTTGCCAATCTAAGATTATATCGATGGAACCTAAACTGTGGCATCATCTTGATCATTGCCAAGCAGGTCAACGTATACAGTGGAATCTCAACGATTTTAAAGACTTATGGGTAATTTGATGCTCCCGATCGCGTCTTGAAGAAATACATTGTGAAACAGCGTAGATTATTCCATGGAACGGATCATGAATATTTTGAGAACGGCTGTTAAAGAATTCATTTTTGTGAACATATTCTCCTTGTTAAGGTCGGAATTACAATCGATGTGAGGTAATTTAACAAATTGACAAATTATTATATGCACTTTAGGCAGAGATATTCAGGTAACAGAAACAAAGTCGGTCTGGGAGATCAACACTGAGGTTTGGCTACTTTGGTTAGAGGAGAAGAAATTTCGTCCAACGTTTGTGAACTAAACGTAAACTAAATGTTTGTCTGCATCCAAGTCTCAAACCATAGTCAGCTTGTTGGATAGCATAAAGAGATCCTGATAGCCGTATCCACACGATAACATCCAGTCATGATTTGCATGTTATTTGCACTTTCCTTTATCTGTAGCTTTGTCATGCGTGCGGATTGTTTCGGTTGCAAAATATGATTATGGAATTGAACTATTGGTTGGTAAATAAAAACCTGGTGATGCCGAACGATCATTGAAGATTTTCGATTTGGGTTATGATGTATCACCTGATTACGAAAGCCTCAGTGTGGTCGGAAGTGGGTGTCAGGTTGTGGCTGGTTACCCTCCCCTTGCACCTCACCAAACTCCTATAAAACCAAGCATTCCAAATTGCCTGTCGAAGAAGCCTCATTTACAACCCTTTTGTAGCAGAGGTGTTTTCCCACTAAAGCCCGGACGAAAAAGCCCAGATCCGGAGCTATCGCCGGATCGGTTTACCATTGACTGTTCACATACGAAATTTGGTTGAACAACCTGATTCCAAACCAACCAAGAGGAGATGTACGAACCACACACGCACCCCCTATTGGTAGTGGAAGTGGTCACCGGCTCGAGTGGTCGNGCACGGTGTGATCAGCCAACTCCCGAGATACCCATCCCGGACCATACTCAGGCTTTCGGATAGACAATAACATAGCAATATAACACACATGCTCGAATAACAAGATCGCGTGACTTACTTATGTTTCCTTATCGGGAACCTCGTAAACAAGGTAATCCATGATTATGATCAGGTTCGGACGAGACCGGTGTCTTATCGGTGGTTCTTGTCCATAGAGATGTTCTCAGCGCACACCTGGTTTCTCCATGTTTTGTACCGTTATCTTGGAACTTCCCAGCTTTTTTATGCTTTCCTTCTTCAACTCATGAATCCATTGAGTATCAGGGAGAGCCTTAGCATGGTCGGGGATGGGTTTCTTGGGCTGTGGCTGGTTACTCTTGTTCCTTGCGAAATGCTCCTATGGGGCTAAGCATCTCAAGTTACCTTTGTTGCAGAAGCCCAACTCACTGGCTTCCTGTGGCAGAGGTGTGTTCCCACCATGGAAAGGCCGAAAGCTGATATCCGGGGCTATAACCGAGCCAACGATCCCCTGGCAGTTTAATTAAGGGAGTTGGCTAATTACCCTGATTCCAAACCAAATAAGCCAAGGTATATAGGGTAGATGTGACGTTTCACCCTTTCCAATGGGCTTATAATCTAAGGATCTGAAAGCTGGCCCCTAACGGATTGCGGTTTTCATGCACCCCCCGCTGCTCCGTCGATCAGGCTTCGGATAGCCAAAAGCTCCGGTTGTGAGTTGCCTAAGAAAATTCGCTTACCTTGGCCTGGGCCTCCGGCTAGTATTTCGCCCTCATTTAAATCATGAACTCTTTTCCCTTGTCACAAAGCTTATCGTACCATGCTCTGTGCGGCATAAAGTCCGACTACACGCGTGTGCAATATATGTTCGGAGATTAATCAAGGGAAACAGTGTTGTAAAAGGTGACTGAAACAGCCTAGCCCCATCACCAGGAGAGCTCAGATGTTGCAGCTTTATGTCCTACAGTGATCACCGTTGTTGCTAAGTTTATCATCGTTGTTGACACTCAAGGATACTGATTTGAAAATAACAAGGCCTTACATATTATTTGGAAGGCATTTAGTTACATAAATATTAATGGTAACTATTTTTCGGTCGTCTGAATTTTCCCTCCCTTGAACATGTGATCTGTGCTGTCTTACACGATTATCTGGACATATTTAAACATTGAATAGCCCAATTCTGCATCAACGTTTGACGGATGTAATGTCACTCAGGAAGTATGCGTACTTGTTCAATCCGTAATATTAGATTCACAATTACCAGGATGATGGATAGGTTATATCTTTTTGCGATAGTAAAGGTGATACTGGCTGATCTGATTTTGCTGATGGTCTAGGTTGCTCAGTTGCTTTCTGTTTGATTTCTCATTTGCCTCTAGTGAGCGGTGTAAGTAACTGTTGAAGCTTCTGGGTGGGCATGGACGTATTTCAATAGTGACCGCACGAGTTAGTTTCTGAGAGACTTTGTCTTTTAATAATCCCTTGTTGGTATAGGTTTTTTTCGCTGTTACATCTTATCTAGGCTTTAATCAAACGATGTAAGTTACAATGATTGTCGCACATGAATATGTTTTGTTGTGGCCCAGAGCAATTTAGCCCTGTGTATTGAAATGAAACTCGCCCACTTTTTGTTGATTATGAGTTTGTCAATTTCATCCAACTTTTCCAACGATAATGTTAAAATGATTAATTTACTGATGCCAACAACTTCGTTCTCTGTTTTAGGCTATGATAGAGCCCGATCGTTTGCTCGAACAATACCAAGCTTATCTGGATGATAATGGTGGTATTCTCGTTGACTCCATTCCGAAACTACTGGAGCTGATGAATTCAGTTAACGGGAAACTGGTTCCGAAGTGCATTTCGCTGTGCATTATTTCCTCCTCTATCCCGGATACTCAATATAAATTGTGCAAGGCTGGGGCGTGGGATATTCTCCTTAAATGGTTACAAGAAGCCCTGAAAGAAGATAACTTTTCCTTTTTGATTGAGTTGCTGAACCTCTACTTGAAACTGCCGGTCCGTTTGGAGCAACTTACACAGAATGTCTGTCCGAAATTGATCAATTCCTTAACAAAACGGTGTGATCATGAAGGTGCCGTCTATTTCATTTCGTATTATTCTTGCAGCTGTGAAATCCATTGCAGCGGAGATCGTGAAGAAGTGGAAGGCAGTTATCAGCACCGACTCTCGGCGTGTCGTTGATCGTAAGTTCTATTTGATGGTATTTTTTTACTTCTAGATACCGAGTTGAAACGTAAAAAGTCCGAAACCGATGTAAAATCCGAACCTGTTGCCCCCGATTCATTGAAAGATGAAAAGAAACGTAGGCGCACCGTAAAGGTCCCTCCTATGACGATGCGCACTGCTGGAGTCGAAGAAGCTACCGACATACAACCTAAGTCTCGTTCTGAGGTTTTGTCAAAGAGAAAGTAAGGTTTTTTAATGTCATTAACAATTCTGGTAGTAAAATGGAAACTGAGTCTAAGCCTCAAGAGTTACCTATTGAATCATTTCATCAAAAAATTACAGTCACTCCTACGGAACCCAGAAAAGGTAGTTGCTCAGCTCATTTTTCATATTCTTTTAGTCGCAGAAATACACGAAAGCTCCAGTTTTATCAACGCCCTAACTACGGTCACTAGTCCCGTTGTCCGTAAGAAACGGAAAATGCCCCCCGTGAAATTAGATACACTGACACTCAATGAAACTCCTGTGGTAATTTTTTTCAGATTCGTTAACTGTCCTTTAGTCCACAAATGACTCACTTATAACTGACCAATCGGAACTGGACACCTCCACTGAAGCATCGCCTTCTCCGGTTCCCATTGGAACCAAAAAGTCATCTTTAACATCCATCGCATCAACATTTTCTGTTGATAACAAAGCCAAAAAAAGGGTTTCCTGGGCAGACGAAGATAAACTACAAACCTTTCACTACTTCGAGTTGGATGAATCTGAAAGAGGCAAGTTGAGTTCAGTAGTAGAGTGTCTACTGATGAATGATTCGCAACCTCCACGTGGAACTCATTGTTTTTTTTGTCCAATTTAGTTAACGTCAACCGTTTTTCTGTGGAAGAGATCCGACGAAAGGAACTTTCAATGGAGCGACAATTGTTCAAACGGAGTGCCGATGATTTCACGATAAGCACAGAGAAGGTAAGCTTACACATCAGGAAATACTGTTCGTATGGTGTGATTGTGCTGACGCACATTTGTTTGATGATTAGGGAGGACATTATATATATATATATATATATATATATGTATATATATATATATAATGAGAGCTTTTTGTTGTTCACCTCACTAAACCCTACTTGCATAATCAAACAACAAATCTAAGGACCAAGGATAAACCTGTTTTCCTACGTTCCATACTTTCCGTGATAATGTATTGTGAAATCAGAAAATTATAACTAGCGTGATGAGCACGATTTTCAGTTCTCGCCATAATGAGTGTTTATATCCTTATCAGCTTATCTGTGAATGTCAAAATTACGATTTACTACGTAGGTTCTACAGTTTCACCCATCCAAATCGACCATTCTTATCAAAATGGCTGATCAGGGAACCTCGTATGCCCCTGATCTGTCTCTCTTAGTTTCATTTTTACTCTTTTCGGAAGCTTAAACTTTATATTTGAGTGTAAAGTGGGTAGTTGATATATCATCAAGTATTCGTTCTATAACTCTTTGTAATGAGTACAGTAAAGACTTCATTTCATGTTTGTTGTTGTATAGCGTTTGCATGTATGAGTTTCTCGTGTCTCATCCAATTTATGCAGTTTTAGCTGTGTTGGCTGATCAAACTCCTTAACTGTTCGTTATATCAAGCATCCACTACGAGCATCACCAATTTTCTGATGTTTTTTTTACCGAACCTGGATGATGGTGATGATTGTAGGTAGTATCGAGGCATTTTGTTTTTCAGGTATCGCGAATTAACTTACGTTTCTCGAACAACTTTCCCCTTGTTACCATTGTTATGTTCTTTGTTATCGAAAATAAACCTTTTAATGACTGCGACTTTTCACTTACGCTCGGGGTTGCGGTTGAGACCTAAATGGTGACATCCTAGTACTCAGGTAAGGTTTTCTAGTTGTATGAAATTTAAATATCTCATTTTCACGTAAATTATCTGTTCACCACGTTCGAAACGGTCATCAAATCTTTTAGTGTTAGGAAATCCTAGTGACGGCCGATTTCAAACGCTTCTACTGCTCAGGAATTCATCTGGTAGTACGTTTCTTTGGTTCAGATCGTTAGAGTTACCTGGATAGTTGACGGAGTGCATGTGTGCTTCTACCTGCATCAGATTGACCGGTCACTCGGTTGCGATCGAGAATAGCTTATTAGTATGGTCACAAACTACTCGAGTTATTCTTCGCTCTGAATGACAAACTAGTCCAGTATCTAGATCATTGACTGTTGGTCTCAAAGAAGCCCCGGTGTTGAAGTGGCATCTTTTTCAAATCATATAAGTTGCCTTCACAATCTTCTGCGCAGATTGTTTTCTGAGGCATTTGTTTTATATTGAAAGCTTGATTTGCACCTAATTGTAGCTTTTAAGCTCGATTGTACGAGAGGAATATATCAAAGATAACCGCGATTCATTTCTATCCGGTTGGGCAACAAAGCCCTACACGCTGGAACTGTTCGCGGTCTGAAAACTTGATTTAATAAATAAATATCAGTCTCACAAAGCTTCGTAATACGTTTAACGCGACTTCCCATTGTCGGAACTGGGATAATCACGTACAAATAATGCTTTCGATTTTCCTGCTGGTGAGACCCACTACAATGGGGACTAACGAAATTTCATCCGCATCAGCCATTGCATATCAATGAACGTGGTTGACAGCTTCTCTGTCGCCTCGTTCTAT